GAGCAAAAATCTATAAGCACAGTCAGAGAAAAGAGAGCTTGTTTGTTATGAGCAAAAGGAGTCGTGTGAAGTGATTCGATAATGAGCATTGAAAATACGAGACATCAAACATGATTCTGATGAGATAAGTTGTTATCCATTTTTGATTTCTGCCAAATAACATTTTAGTATCGAAAGCGAATAACTATTATATTATAATAATGTAGTTCTATTTGTTAGTTGTGCCAGCACGAGGTTTCGGCGAAGCTTTATTTACAAATTTGCACTACTAATTCGGAGAAGGCGGTCGCACACCACCATCGGTGCGATAGCGGTAGAGCTACGGCCTCTGAAGACGAGGATTGCTCGAAACGTTAGGCCGCTCTACTAATAAAGCTTCGCCGAAACCTCGTGCTGGCACAACTAACAAATAGAACTACACCATTATAATGCCGAGGTTCAAAGAAAAGAGGATAATCAAGCTATTATATTATACCTAGTTGTGAGGAAATCAAAGAGAAAAGTTGTTTGCTGTAAGAAAAAGCCAGGTGAAAAAAGCAGCTCAATAAGGTATGAAGTCAAATCATGCGTAACACGTATGGGAAGGACACAGAGACTTCAAATACTCAAGGATGCAAAAAAATGGTTTCAAAAAGCAAAGGAAAAGAGAGTTGAAATAAACATTATCGAAGTTTTTCGCTTTTGTGAATATTTTTGGCCAAAAAATGCACTAAGCCTTCAATTGATCGAGACTTGAAAAAAACTTTCTTAAGAAGAAAATTTTAAATGTACGAAATTAAATATAAAGAAATATGTAAAAATATATATAATAAATTAAAATATATATATTAAAATATATATATACATAAATATATAAAAAAATTAAATATTAAAAAAATGTACGAAGATTTAAAACGAAGATAAGAGTTATATGAAATATTTAGGATTAACGGAATTAAATGCGGAGACATTTAAGTGGAGTAACATCCTTCAACTTCTGGCCCATTCTTTGAACCGCTGCCTAGTTTCTGTGAAGTGAACTTAGTAATATGCAAAAAAGCTTAACCTCACAATAACGTTCACATGGAGAGATATCCAACTCGAAGGAAGTCACAACTTTTTACTAATTATCCACGAGCAGTTGCAGCCTGTCATTGTTATTCCCGGAAGGTGACTGGATATTGCACGCAAAATACACTCGAAATACAATTTGTGTGGAAAATCAAGCTGAAAGTTTCGTTTGTTCTGAGACTTATGAAAAGGAAACGATTTTGCTCCTTTACAAACTCGAATAGCAAAAGAAAACAAGTGCAAGTTGAAAAATTTTAAGAGTTCAAACTCCAAATCGTTAACAGATCGGAGCAATCTCAATTCAGCCGAGTTAATCTATGCAGAGATTTTCAGGATCATGTTTTCATTATTGTCAACGTCAAAATTAATCTGCCAAAAAACTTCATACTGTCCCTTCCTCGAGATAAAACAAAAATTTACCGGGCAATCACGAATTTACTCATTGAAAAAAGTAAATGGGGTATTATATGAGGTTGGTCCATAATTGATGCACGTTTTTCTTACCTATTCTTTTAAAACGCTAGATTCCACAGTTAAAAAACTTGAATAACTTTTTGTACTTCCTGTAAGCCTCCTTCCTTTAGTTTTTTGCATGTATTTCGTCTTCGGAAATCTTCATTCGAATAAAAATCTCATGCTTTCAAAGATAAGAGACTGAAACTTGAACATTTGTTTTTCACTCTACTTGCTCTGAATCCACGAAATATGCTCAGATTCGTTTCAAAAAATATGTGTCATAATTGCGAATGTTTGTGCTACAAAATGCTCACCGGGTCTGAATTTTTGAGAAATCTCAAGCCGATAAGCGGTGAACTTGGCTCGTTGCTGGTAGCATTCTATGTAAGCTGTATAAAAAGGAAAGAGCGACTGCTGAACTTTCTATTTGTGCAGGTAAAGCAAGCATAGTACTACAAATGGTAAGAAAACGGCATGACTTCCTCATTTCTTAGAAAAGAAAAAATTAGAGAATTCTAAAAAACAGAATTTTCCTTCTCTAAAATGCAGAAAAAATGGCTACTTTTGCTTCCTCGGCAATATTTTTCGCAGAAAATTTCCGTAAAATCCAAGTTTCACACTACTATTGAACCGACCATCGGCTATACAATGAGCTAAGTTTGCTCCTTTCTAATACTTTTGGGGGTAAGTTATGCTTCCTCAAATTTAAACTTTCCAGAAAACAATTTTCGGCAATTTTCGGGCCAGAAAATCTTCCCGTAGTGAATGCGAACTCAAAATAATATGCATTGTATAGCTTGCGTTTGCGATAGTTTTTACGCTCAAAGATTGTTCCGGAAGAAAGATATGTGGGTTTAAACTTGCAGTTTACAAAACGTGAATGAATTAATTATGAACAAACCTATTATGTTAGTAAACTACTGCATAGAAATTGGAGGTAAAACTGAGGCATTTTTATTTTGTTCTTAACAATCGTTGGCGGTTTTTCAGAGAAAAGTCGAGTTGTGAGAAAAAAATACAGATTACTGACTAAATAGTTATTTGATAACACAGTGATACAAGCAAAGTGTTCTAGCTTCGTGGCTGTTGTAATAAAAACATCTCTTCGTTTTCGGCTTCTGCACAAATAAACCGCAATACATGGGCCATGCTGCTCTAACGATAATGGAATGCGACAGAACAGAATTAAACGACCCTTTAGGACATAAATTTGTGTTAAAATTACTACGTCAGTGGATGTAAACATTCGCACATATGAACGTGAGCGAAGTTAAACTCGGCAATTACGGGAAAAAAGGCAAGCAGCTCGACTTTTTTCCAGTTCCACAGCTACGTCTAGATCATATTATTTTTTGTGTAAACATCATGAGAGCAAAACTTATTAGTTTAAAAAGAGTAGAAAGAAAGAAGTGATGTACGAAATCAATCAGTGTTATATCAAGCCTGAGAAATATAGAAAAGGGTGCATCTTCCATGCTGCCTAGTTAGATTGTCTTCCTTTTTAGAATAATTTCTATCCTTCACGAAATGCATGGGTGATAGGTAATAGTCTGAAAGTCTTGTACCAAAAATAAATTGTTTTCAAAATGTTCTCGAAAACGTTCCCAGACTCTTCTGTACACTGCTAAAAGTCAATTATTTCTTTTCTTCAAAATAAATCAATTAAACGAAATTTATCAAACTCGTTGAAAAGAGATAGTTTTTTTTTTCAGAAATAATTATGATTGACTTGGATGAATCTTATGTATGCAACATGGGCCTAAATGGCAAAAACCCATCCTCTCTCTTTGTGCGAGTAGCTTTACAAAAAAACTTTTGCTCACGTCATATCTACACATCGAAAAAGCAAAGCTTTGACCGTGTTGTTCTCAGATTTGTCGCCAAAGAGCTCAACAGAGTAGAAAAGTGCAAATATTGGAGTTGGGTAAAGTGAAAAGAAACTAATAATAGACCATTCAGATCGAGGAGGACAAAAGTCTATGAATAATGCAGTACAAAAAAATCGATGTAGTCTGGTTTTCAGTTCGAGTCCCTACATACACACGGCAGTGGCGAACAATGAGGCCTCATTAACGCTGAAGTCAGTGTTAATGTTGCCTGAGACTGCAGAGCAGCCATCGGTGTGGCGTTTCTATGGAAATACTACCTTTCAAAACTGGGTCGTTTTCAATTACCATTCCAATCGTTCGCACTTAGCGTGCCGCAGCTAAATTTACATTAGGGATGACACGACCACATATAATTTTCATGAAATTTTGATATTCTTGATGTCATAATCCAGAACAATCAAAAATGCAGAAGGGGATCTGTCAAGAATTTTAGACATAAATCTTCTGAAGGAATCTCCACCAAGGGAAGAGGAATTTTCTAAAACCAACTTGAGTATCATTCATTCTATGACCAGGAGACGCGAGACCGCATTGCACATATTGTCTAAACAAGCCTAGTCATGTACTTAGCAGGTTTATAATTGTTATTTATCTCGTCCGGGTTTATTCACTCTTTGGAAACAGGGAAGAACAAGCACAAACTTACTAAGACAATGTCCGCAATGCGGTTTCGCGTCTCTTAGTTCATACAATAGATGATAACAAAAATGTGCAAAGATTTTTTTATTGCCATTTTTTTCGTCGATTCTAACTGTTAACAATTAAAATGATTTTTTGCTTTTTAAATCAAAATTAGCTTTGTAAAAAAATTCAAGGGCGTGCCTACTACCACATTCTTTTTTAAATTTTTGGGGTTATAGGTCCGCGAAACTTTAGGAAACTGGCTCAAAAAATTTCTCCAAGGATATGAATGATGATATTCAGACAAAAAATTGTCACGCCCTCTTCCTCCCCCTCCCCCCCTCGCTCCCTCCTCGCGAACGAAATTTTGAGCCGCCACTGCAGTCGAATACTTGGCTGCATTTTCTACTCATATAGCCCATCGTTATTTAGTTCGAAGATGAACGATTTCAAGTATGCCCATCGCTTATCAAAAAGTTGTGGGTACGTCAAAAAAAATAATAATATAGTGATACATAATAGATTAATGATATGGAGATTCTCAACGGAAAGAACAAGATCTGTTACAGAGTTGATGAGGTTCAAAAACTTCTGATTTATGAGGCGACATATTAAGATTGTCTTATCGTGGAGATAATGAGTTCTTAAGATTATTCGATGAGAAAAACTCTCCCAACGAAGTGGTACAACGACAGTCTCTCATGTCTTCAGAGTACGCAAGTACTCACCTAAATCGAGTCATATAAACTATGAGAATTTCCGGAAATAGGGCGTACATGAACATCTAACTAAGTAATTGAGCGACCATAGGCCGAGCGTTAATGACACGCTGAAAGAAAGGGGCTCTGGTTTAAAGCTTGTGTCAAGGCAGAAGGTCCCCAAGCTCCCCAATTTCTTATATGTGTACTAACTGGGAGACCTTACTAAATCTACTAATCTACCTTTACGACTCACTATCAGTTAACAATTTGATAAAAATTTATTGGGTGCAAAAATAGTTACACACGTAAGTTTTTCTGTATGTACAGTACAAAAAATCAGTGGAGTTAAGCAAGAGATCAGTTGACCTACAGAATGTAGGAAATAAAAAAAAACTACGGATATATGTACAATAAACACCGCCATACAAGAAGGTATCGACATATCTATTTGACTTTTCTCCCTTTCATTGGCACTTTCATACTAGCATCAGGAATCGCTGCTCTTTTCCGACTCTCTTCTTCTAGAGCGCTCAATATCTGACTTGATGCTCGGCGTCCATCTGAATGCCAAAGTGTAACTGGTTCTAACAACGAAAAATTTAGAAAAGAGAAGCGATAGAACAGCTCAAGTCCCAAAACATTCGTCATAGGGGATGCATGATATCACGAAACAACATGCTGATTGCCTAAACCCCTTCAAGAGTACCTGTAAAATGACCTCCAGGTAATGGTAAACTTTCAGCTGGATCACATTCTGGCGTGATTGGTAAGAACCATAGTGGGCCTGTTTTGAGCGTTGCATCTGGCAGGAGAGCGTTGATGTTATCTTCCTGCAAAGACATAACTTCTTGCAAAAATTCACAAAAGGGTAGGGAAGAACGAAACAAGTAACTCACCTCATCAGAACTACAGAGAATCTCATTTGGTTTCAAAGATTCCACATCGATGATTTCCTCATCAGAATCCTGAACATTAATTTTATCTGATCGCATATTTCAATTTTTCCAGATCAAAGCCAGCTAGAAGTTTGGAGCCTACTTGAGAGTTTGCTTTGTCATCCACTTCCGCATCTTCGTCTTCCAGATCAAACTCTCCCTCCTTCTCCTCGTACTTTGCGTTTTCCTCCAACTCAGTGAACTCTGGGGCAAATGCGGACCAATTTTCAACGTGGGCCTGGAAAATCATAGTTAGGTCCAACAACAACGATGATTTCGGGATTCAGGCAAGTAAGGTTTTTTGTGGGTACCTGCGTCCAAACTGAAACGATACCATTGGCCACTGATAGTATGACTGGTCGGATTGGATGCCATTGGACATCCATCAAACACTCGCCCTGAAGACAAAAAGTAAATTTCATGTAAAATTTAATGTATCATGAAAAAAAAACTCGGTCTGAAAAAGAGAAGACCATTAAAAATAGAGGAATTATAAACTCCAAAACAGTACTGTTAACTAGCTCTTGGCCTTCCCTTTTTCATTCCAAGCAGCTTGAGGGGTATTCTCAGGTATCAAGAGGGGGGGGGGATATGTCTGTCAGATCACTGCTAGCATTGAAACACATGACACTTCTAACTGACCGAAAACCGAAACTGTTTTTATATGAAAATGAAGGCTACAAGCCAATTTGTTAGAATGTGACCGAAAAGAAAGCGTGCCGATTCTACACAAACCGCGACATTAAATCTGTAAGTTAATTGCAAAAGGAGCATTCCAGAGATGAATCAAGTAACAAAGTGCTCACCTTGGTACCGTGCAAGATTTTTATCAATGTTCCGGTGGTGCGTTCCCAAACGTACAGCGAATGAGCCTTTGTACTAGCTCCGCAGATATAGTATCCTTCGCTATCCGTACAAACGGCCTTCCAGGACGCCTATTGAAAAAAATCGGATTAGAATAAACTCTACAATGATATGAATCTATATACCTTGTTGACGATATCTGTAACCCGATGTTTCGGTTCTATAGTGGAGCCATTATGGCAATCCAGAATATCATTCAGATCGAATGTCCTAATTATACGATCCTGTGAGTTGGTGATGATGAAGTTTCCCCTTCGTGGCACCACAATTTGCTTGACCTAGATCATTTACGTTTTTGAGAAACAGCAAAACACAGAAGGACCAAAATTAAAACGTAGAAGAAAGTTGAATTTTGTAAGAATCACCTGTTGAACGCTGTTTTGTTTTCCCCATGACACCATCTTCAGCGTCTTAGCATTGTAGACGACAAGTTTTCCCTAAAAATCAGTTGCAGGTTGTATGCTAGTGTCATCATGTACGCTTGCAGGCAGATTGAATTATATGACCCATGGATGCATATTTCAAAAATTCAAAAGGCTCAACACTATACTCGCAATAAGATAAAGTTTTACTCAGCTGAAAATGGCAAAACCAGCATTTATAAGCATCTGCAAGAGGTAACATCGTAAAGACAATTCTGTCAAGAAACTTCTTCCTTCTACCTTTCCAGGGATGGAGAAGAAGTTAGCTATTCTACGAGTTAAACACTCGTTTTCTACAAGCACAATCTTGCACGTGTTTGTTTTCTCGAAACAATATAGCTTGTATTTTCTTGTTTTTAGGTACAGAAGCCCTGCGCGTCATGAGTGAAACTGCGATGCACTAGGTTTACGGCTTATGGGCGAAGTCACAACATCCACTCAAAGATAAATTGCCTATTTCAACAGAAATTTGGTGTTTTCAATTAACTCTGTCTGAAGAAATAATTGAACAAAAGAAATAAGATAAAATGAAGAAAGAAGGACGCAACGATCTACCTGAACAAGAAAAGAGTACCTTGTTTGTTCCAGTGATAAGATAATTGGCTCTGCGATCAAAAGCTATAGCTGACACGCCGTCTTCAACAGCTCCTGGTATATCGTTGGTGATAATCCGCTGGGATCTTGGCTCAAGCTCATCCAGACATGGTGGATAGTTCAGTTGGAGCACAAGGACTTGATTATCGTTCCTAAAACCTCCTGCTTAAGGCCCTATGAAGGGAAAAATTAAGGTAAAAAGCTACAGAGTTCATGGCTTCAATCTTGAGCAGATACCTCGGATTGAAAACAGCAGAAGTGACCATGGCTGAATACTTCAATCGATGCAGGCAGGCTCCTTCAAGCACATTCCAAACGGCCACTGTTGTATCGGCCGAAGCGGTCAACAGTTTGCGACCATTACGGGACCAGGAAAGGGAAGATACAGGAAGTGCATGCGCCGTCCATGTCTACAATCCTTGCAAGTTAAATAAAAACGGAAAACAAAAAGAGTGAAAACAAAGAAATTTTGGAAGGAGGAAGCAAGACCTACCTTGACTATTCCTTTTGTAACGAAATCAAAGATAAATATTCGACCGTCAGTGCTCCCCACAGCCACGAGCGTACCCCAACGATTGAATTTACAACAATTCGCGGCTCCATTCTGCAGTCACATGAATGAAACAAGCAAAAACAACAACAAAAAATGAGATCAGCAGACCCATCAGCAAAGATAGATCGAAATTAGTGCAAAGAGATCTCACAACCTAGTCGAGCGAAATTAGCGTAAAGAAATCTCACAACCTAGTTTATGCCTTCAAATACAGAATGCCTAGTGCCTCTACGCTGATGTTGAAAGAGTAATATGAATAGATGACTAAAATACCTGCAAATCAAGCGTTCCATCTAGCTCTTCTGGAAATTGAACGCCGAAATTCCTCTCCAAAAGCTCTGCGTTCATCATCTTGGCAACTACAAAACAGAATTTCTCTACATTGTGAGATAAAATAGATAGATTGCACAAAAAATGTTTGCGGAGTAATGCTTCAGAAACATCAAGTTTGCTTACAATCCAACCGATGTTCGAAGATATTACAAAGAATCACAATACAGAATCTTAAAATAAGGCTGGGTTCATACTGATCCGTGAGTTGTGGAACAGTCCCAGCACAGCGCTTGAATTGTACGCTGTGCTGAAACCGTTCCGGACTTACGGATCAGTATGAACCCAGCCTAAACCATCTTCAAAGGTCAGAAGTATTTGTAGATGGCAAGATCATCAGTGAACTGTCCTCTCAAAGTAGATTCGATTTGTAATAAAAAAAGGACGTTGACCGACTTTCAGAGTTTCAGATGCTAATCGAATATTATCTTTTTAGAGTAATACCCCTCCCCGCTATTAAAAAATTATTACCGAGAATCAGCCAAATACGGGCACTTCTGACTGGCTAACGGGTTCAAACTTGTTCTTTCTCCAAATGATAACGGATTCAGAGTGAAGTGAAGCACAACTTACAACTTGTAACCGTCACGCGTCTGATGACGCTTTCGAGTTTTCTAGCCTGCGACACCCACTATTTTTGATAACTTTCCTTTCCTAGCTCATATCTCTCTTTTAGCAAAGATAACGGGAGGGTAGATGTGGGTAAGGGATTGGGATGTCAAGTAGATAGAAAAACTCAATGGTAGGCTTTGCATTCTCTACCAGTTTCGTCGCTCGCGATCGAAATGTACAGCAAGTTCGCCACGCGATACTAGCGTTGGAGCAGATTCTGAATGCATCGATGATGGAAAACCAAAATTCATATTTTGCACTGTTTAGCCATTGCCGGCGAAGTCTTTAGCTCTGCCTGTTTCAGCCGAAGTTTACAAACTTCTTTTTGTCTAATAATTACGAGTTCAACATTTTGACGGAAAATCTTTCGGAAGCTTTTGCTTTGCTCACCTACGCTTTCCTTTTCTTGATCGCTGTTGCTCAACTGTGAAAAGCTTTTGTAGGGAATAGAGTGAGAAACCAAGTACAAAACAATGTCAGGTGAAAGCGTCGTACTCGTTGACCACGAACTTGCAAGACTGACCAGAGGGACAAGAAGTTTGAAACCGCTAGATAGGCGCCCCAGGCAAACTTTGCGCTCCATCGATGCCAGCGTCGCGACTTTGCAGATGCGCGAAATCCTAATCGCATTCGTTTCCTCTTTTGGTGAAAACTTAAGCCAATCTTTCTTCATAAGCGTTTGTGCTTTCATGCTCGCAACACAATGGCCTTCGTTCCAGTCTTGGGTACAATCCGTCCGAACACATAGAGGGTTGACGCGCCATGAATTCTAATTATCGAGGCAGTTTTGTTAGTTGGAAAACTAGCAATACATTAAGGTCAGCTTCTGGCATATTTCTAGCCTTATGGTCCATCTTTATCCCTTTAATTTACTTTGTTGATGTTGTGCTGTAGCGTGCATGCGCGCTTTACTGTGCAGGTTCTATCAGGCAAAGAAATCTCATCTTGAATCTAATCACAGTTTGTCGGGTGTAAATCATGCGCGAACCATCGCTTTGTCACTTAGAGAACATTTTGATTTCATGTTTGGTTTTGAACTGCCAAGTCAGTCGCCTGCTGCGCTACTCAGATTAAGACTGTACCATGAAACTTTGGCATTTTTGATTTCTAAAACATCTGAAGCTGTTGAGGCGTTGTTGAATGATAAACAACTTGTAAAGATTCGTTTATAGTCCTCGTTTACAGTCGCAGCAACTATTTTATCAACTAGCATTGGGAGTCTTGCCCTAGCGCGGACAATCTCATGCTGTGAGCACGCACATTGCATAAAAGTTGCAGCCATTTTGCTTATTTTGTACCTTGATTGTCTATCTTGGAATCATTGGGTTTTTGTCTCAGAAGCGTCGAGACCGCATTGCGCTTTTCTTGCGTACTCTAGAAGGTGGTGCCTGATCCTGTTGCTTGGCATTCAAAACTGCAGACACATCCGCTCAGTTTAGTGTGCTTCGCGTGACGAGGTTGGGTCGGGTATTCGAGGTCTCGACTTTGTATTCGGGAAATTCGGGAATCAGAGACACAGAAGGCCCGGAACGATAAAAACATGGAAGTCGAGAATCTGGGTGGACGATGCTTTGCCTTGGCCATACCTCACTCGATTTCAGTCGTTACGCGATTTGGCAGTTTGCCAGATGCCTTCAAATCCAGCACTGGCAAACCATATTTGCACATTTTCAACTATCGAGTATTGATAAGGTGCCCAGTCCTCTGCACATTTAGAATTTGCGCACGATGAGTTATGGACAATTAAATTATTGCCAAACGTCGCGACTGAAATGGCGTCGGTATGGCCAGACTTTAAGCGCAAAATTTACCTCTGGTAATTTTCATTTAGCGCCGCACTATCCCATTTTCAATAAGGCGATGAGCTTTTTTGCGCCAAAATCACATGCTACATTAGGTTGCAAGCATAGGCATGTTTGTAATCCACTGGTCTGTTTCGAAGTATTATATAATAGAATGATTTTCCTAGATCATAATTGTACCCTGAAAAGCCCATACATTTTGGATTAGATGTTCATATAATCTGCGCGATCGATGTCCACAGTCAAGTGCTTGTGCAAATTTTGGTCTCATAAAATTGACTATTTAACCTTTTAGTAATCCGTATAATTATCCCTACGGATACAGACAGGAATCAGGGCCCGTAGGGTACAACCCGGATTTTCCCTCGATCCAGAACGTCCAGGGATCATCCACTTATTATCAGCAGCAGCAGGTACTTACATCGTATTTCGTCCTTTTATTATTTGGACATGTCCGTCATTTTATTCTTTTGCATTCCAGTACAATTACTCACAGGGAGAGTACAATCCGGCTTTCCCTAGTTACTCTAAGCCAATATACTCACGAGACTATTCCTTTCGGGTAGGTTTCTCAAATATTTTCGGTTGTTTCTCTTTAACGAACTTTGATACGATGAACCCAATCCCGAAATTGGATGTAGAAACTATGGTTTAAAGAATTTGCCCTTACTAAGTCGTTGTGAAGTTTTTCTGTGAAACGATTCTTCTGCTCGAACAATCGGAAAACCTTCAGAATCACTTCTGCAGTCTTTGATAGTGAAGTTTGGGTTTTCAAGTTTTGCGGTAATGCACTCATTTCAGCACAATCGCGGTTATCCTCGCGTAAATAATTCTGTCCAGCAGTCCAGAGGAAACTCTCGTGCCGCAAAGGTACATAGCTTGTGAGGACCGAACCAGGAAACAAATATGATGATTTGCAGCTGAAAACCACGCAGTCGAATAACGCTTTGAAGGGGAACAAGAGCAAGACTAAAGCTCAAAGCACCACTGAATCCTCGTCCACTAGTTCACAAGTGCTGAAGGCTGAGGACGCACTGCAAAGTGGTTAGCGATAATTGCGTCTTCTTAAGGTCATTTGGCTTTTCATGTGACTGGTCTGAATATATGCATGAATGGGCTGCTTGTGAAAGATCGATTAACATTGACGCTTTTGTCTGCAGACGATCAGAAGCCTGGTAAAGTTCGCCCCATATCGTCCGAGAAACCCGACATATCCGTTTTAAAAATCATTTCGCCAAAAAAGAACACTAAGCATCCGCGTAAATCGCACGCGGGTAAGTCTGAAACGGGTACTAAACGTGGAGCGTCTACAAGCTCAGGTAAGAATTCCATTGTCAGTTTTTGCTTGACGTTATGTAGGCTTTTAGGTTTTAAAAAGAACATGAGCTACATGCCATTTGGGGGAATGCCTCGCGGTAACTTCCCTATGATGCGCGGAGGTCGTGGTGGTAGAGGCGGTGGCCGCCGATTCGCTATGAAACCCAACAATAATCCCATGGACATCCCAGTAAGCAATCAGTCGTTATTTTCCATCTTCTACTATCTTGTTAACTGATTAGTTTATTTGAAGTTCAAGCCACTTTCGGATGATGCCCCTGCGATCAGTCTAACGATTGATCCGGACAACTTCATTTGCTTCCACGGTTTCTCCAGCATCTTCACAACACAGCATACAGTATGTATCAACTTCCTGTATCAGTCATTCCTGGTCGCTACCCCACAAGGGCAGAAATGTCCTAGCGCTCATCGAATATTTTTGTCCTTTTGTATCGCTCGTTTTCGTATTACGAGATGCTCCATATTGCAGTTCCCAGTATTGATTGACGGAAAAATTTATGAGAGCGGCGATCATTACTATCAGATTCAGAAAGTGCATGATCTCTGTGGAACCGTCAGTGACAAGTTAACGGAAACAGGTAACTTGTAACATAGAGTCGCTCAATGTATCTGTAACGATTTATGCTGCAGTGCGAGATGAGAAAGGTCGTCGTCTTGATGGAAAAGTTGGTTTCAGTGAACATAGGGATAAAAGCTTCAGTCAAATTGCTAAAGATGTCATTCGGCTGAATAACGTAGGTGTTTTGTATCTTATCTACTTCTGTCGTTATGGTTAAATCTGCAGTTTCTTTTTGAACACTTTTTTGAGGTCGACAAGAAAAAGGTGGATGAATGGCGGTATTCAAGGGGATTGGAAGTCATGCAGAAGGCACTTTTGGCTAAGGTGTGATATCAGAATTAATCATTTACGACGGTAGCCACAGTTATGAGATTAGTTAAGATTGGATAGATGCCCGTGTGCCGGCACAAAGCCGTTTGTTAGTTTTGCCATCACATGGGCAACTTTGAAAGCATCTTTGTGCATGGTTAGGAGAAGATTATCAGACAATGAGAAAAGCATTAATTGGTATTGAGTAATCAGAACGTGTCATTATCTTCAAAGATCACAAACAATTTTTCTGTTGCTGCAACGCTCATATCGGTCTTTTCTCAGGTTTCCCAATCTGTAATGCTTCGCCAAGCGTTGTCCGAAAGTGGGAAGAAAATCTTAGTCCATGCATTTCCGGGAGATAGTATTTATGGAGCCGGGTAAGAACCCTTGAAGAGTTCAAGTCATAATCTATAGCAGTTTTCCAGATGCCGGCATGCTCAGGTGAAGAAGTGGTGTGAAAGCATGAAAGCCAATGGAGCTACTACTATTAGGGTCAGTTTCAGTATATCAATATTCCTGTTGACTAGTTTTGATCTTGTTTTAGATCCCAGCAACATTCCCATTGACCTCAGAAACGGTTGTGAATTGTCCGAACTTTGCACAAGGGCGAAATGTTCTAGGTGTGATTCTGATGCAGCTCAGGTATGTAGATGACTCAGTTTTTTATAGGGGAAATATCGAAGTTTAGGGAGATGCTCCGTGAGAACAAGGTACCGATCGTGGACTTAAGCTCGGTGTTTGATTCGCTTCGCGTTGGCAACAATAATGTCGACCCCAGCATGGATGATCAGGTACTCAGCTTAATCCAAGGCGCATGCTTCTTAGTACTGTCTATCATTTTTTTAATCTTGTGTCTCATGTGGTAAGCAGTTATCGCTATTTTTTTAAAGGCAGCGTCGGGACAAAATTCCGAATGGAATTTTTTTCGCTTTCCTGGGCTTATTCCTCGCGCGGATTCTGAAAATGTAGCTTGGAGGGCACGAAAACGCCGGAACGGGCTTTTGCGGAAAGCTCTTGATTTGAATTTTGTCGCCTGACGCCAAGGTTAAGACGCAGAGTCTTTGTGGGACTCTACGTCTTGACTGTGTGTGGTATGCGCACTTTGGCTTATCGAACCCACTCGCCCGGTCGCTGGGGCGTTCCGGTCGCCACTTAAGCGGATTTCTCGCTTCAGAAGTAAATTGGTGCATTGCCAGTTAGGCAAGAGCCTTATCAGCCTTATCGGGCGCCCCTGTACTTACATTTTCGTATCTGTCCGGACGCTGCCTTCAAAATAATATAATATACCAAATAAAAAACTATGTGCTAAATGGTTTTGGGAATCATGCTGTCTTTGAGGATTGTGGAGATGGATTTGCAATTGGTGGTGGAAGTATCCAAGCGAAGATTGGAGGAGGAACGACGAAGACGTAAATTATTAAAAAAAACAACAAGATGCCAGTCAGAAGCAAGCTCTCAAACATTCTGTAACATTTTTCTGTATGGACTCCACATTTTTTTTCTTTTTTTGACCTATAGAATATATGCTATGCTAACGTTCATGTTGTTATCTTGAAGCTAAGTTATTTTTGTTTCTTGAATTTTCTTTAGCCTTTTTTTTGCACTATCATGCACCCGGTTATCAACTAATCAGTCAAATATTGTTGTTAGTTTGTTATTGGTAAATCTTCTAACTAAAAATGACAGTCTTGCATAACAAGAAGTGGGTCGGTTTGAAGGGAGGGACTGTTTAGAAACGTCGGTCAGTACAAATCGATGAAATGGGCGTTTGCGGCTATTTGCGTTAGCAGTAGAATTCTATCACGTTTTCAAAAGACTTCAACATGCATGTGGTAAATTTTATAATTGATTTTGTATTTATTTTATTGAGGAAGTCAAGTATCATGCAACGGAACTAACAGGGAAGGTGTTTTAGAGGGTGACTATTCTAGTGAAATATGTACCATCTTGGAGACCACTGAACGCTGAATGCGAATCTGCCCTGTCAAGCGCTTCTGCACGCCGAAATAAGAGCGATTTCGAGTCGGAAATTTGAACAACAAGTAAAACAAAATCATTCAAAACCGCTGAAGTGGGCCACTGTTTGATATCAGGGCATTGCATCGCAGATATTGAAAACAGATATGGAAACAGCGTTCAGTGCACTTTGTAGTAGTACGAAATTTTCTTTGGGAAGTCCCTTTGCTTTATGCATAGGTGCCATAGGGTGAGGAAGCTCACCCTACCCTTATTTTGGAGTATATAGGATACAGAACGAGTACAGCACGACTTCACGACCTGATGTTTAACTATCTGTGGTGGAAATGAAGATTTCTATTATGTGCTTCTTGTATCTATAGATACAAGAAGCACATAATAGAAACTATAGTTAAACTATAGTTAAAAACATCAGCTCTATCTATCCAGAGGCTGAGAATCCCCTTAGACATTGGTTGGTCTTTCAAGAAGTTGGATATAGGCGCATACTGGATGCAGTAAAGTAGCAGCGAAGCGATATTAAATGTGGTTATATCGCATCGGCGGACTCATATTTGGTCATTTTCTACGTCATGAGCCAATTTTTGCAAGCATATCATATCAGAGAAGCTTATTGGAAGATCTTAATATCTTATGCAAGACTAACGTAATACTAATGAACTTTGTTTTTGACACTTATGCTTATCTTCAGTCAGGGCCAAAGTTTCGGTTTTTTTTAATGCAATTAGTACGAACAAAACATCTTACGAATGCGAATTTCTAGATAATTATATCGGATTAAAAATTTTTTTCTTCTTATGTTTTCATGCGAGTGAAAAAAGATTCACTTACCCATTAAAAAGTGCTTATCACTAAACTTAATTTCATTTTTAAAACAGCGAAAAACCCTCATGATTATTGCAATATCTGCTTTCAGCTATAAACAGCCTGTCTAGTTTAGGCATTCGCATCATTTTTATCTTTGTGCATGTGCTGAATTGCACAGTTTTTGATCAATAGCCCTCTCCATCTTTTTGGTCTGTAATTTTTGTATGTGCAGATATTTTTTAGGACTAAATGAAGTTTAGGTAATTAGACATCAATCTATAGCTATAGGCAAGTTTCATGATATGGTAATATAAAATCATGATGAAGTGGTTGTTTGCGTAAACAACGATCACGATGAATGAGTCTTCCCGATATCTTTCGTTACTTCACCCATATTAAGACAGAGTTAATTAGCTACTTGCGAATTTTGCACAGTTAAGGATGTTTTAAGGAAGTTTTGTTGAAAGAGTTGATTTCTACAGAATACGTCAAATTTTTTTTGTGTTAGCAATGTCATCTCGAATTTCAAGTCACGCAATGCTCCATTTTCTAACGGTCTTCGATTAACGAAAATGTTAAGCAGCACTATTCAAAGGAAGTTTAATTTGTTTACTGTTTACTCCTTTGGATTCACGAACTTGAGACTTTTCAAACCATGTTGAAGTGTAAGTATTGTTGATTTTTTGTGCCACTAATTGTGATGACCGCAACTCGAATCTAGAATTTTACGACACTCTTTTTGCGGGTCATAATTGTTCAAGAATAACGAATGTGCGTGTAAAGTCAACTTTGTGTATGCAAAAACGAACTTTTGAACATTTCAAAAATCATCCCCGTTTACTCGTTCTTTTCTCCTTCACTCTTTTCTCACATCTTATTTATAGCTAATCAGATGGAGATTGCTGCTGCAATGTATTGCAATGAAGACGTTAAATGCAAATGAAATGCCTCGTAAACATCGTGATTGAACCTCTACAATCGTAATCACAGCCATGAAGAAATTATTTTTGACCAAATGTCATGCCTCAGATCAAAACTTTAGTCGGAGACTGCAGCGTGGCCAAATACCGTAATATTGGCAGCCAAAGTTTGTCACAACTGGAGTAGTCCAATTTTTTTTTCAATGCAGAATTAATTGTAGTATAAACGTTTACTCAGAATTGAAACGTTGTACTGTAGAAGCACTAACTATTAGAACTTCAATCAACAATCTTTTAATTAGCCTTGATTCATACATCGGATGTATTGCGTACTCTTGCACTTGTTTTAGCTATGGTCTTTTATCAAACGGTTCTGTCGTTTTCTCTTCCTTGCAAGCAAATCTAGAGATTTTGAGTTAAGGTCTTCGTATTCTCCCAAATTCATTTTGTACATCGAATGTATGTAAATACTGTAACACTTTTTCGAACATCTCGGTCCGGTTCTTGTTTTCTGGATATAGCAAACAAACTTTTCGCCATAGCTGAACGTAAAAGCAAAATCAGAGAGGAACAAAGAAAATGTATCATATTTATCTAAACAGATTCCAGCTCTTCCAGGTTAACGGTCACTACGAAGCAACGCGCTATTGAATGCTGTTTGATTTTCGAATGGTAATAACTCAATGAAAGCTGAAACAAAACAAATTCGAAGGCTCAGATATATGAACTTTCTGTATTGAGCAGCTTTGCTGCAAAATTAACATATACTAAACATTATTTAGGATAATAGTGATAATCACAGTACTTGATAACTGATAGAATTGATAGAAATCAGTTTTGTTTTATCCAAAAAGTATCCTTCCAGAAGTCTTCAAACAGCAAAAATTTAGCTACAAAGCCTCTTTGGTGGACCCACGTCCTTTGAAACATTCATGATGTCACAGATTCTTCCAAACGCAGATGGTGTATGATGTCAAAGAGTTTTTAGCGAGACCTCATTTCAACTTCACCTGCCTATCTAAATTAGTCCACTTGACCATAAAGAGCAGTTTTTTACGTATATAATCAAAATTAAATCGAACTGGGTATCAATTAATATCTTATTGAAAAAGCTGCTTCAAATTATAGTCAGACATTCTGTTGCTAATATTCTTGCGTTGGAATTTCAAATCATATAATTTCAAGGCAATAACTTCTTGCGAGTACATGAGATAGTAATGTCATTTGCCCTCATGCCGAAGAATATGCTGGAGGTCATATACTGCACGCTTATTGTTAGCTGAAACTAGAGTTTCCAGAAGAATAGCGAGATAGTTATCCTTAATTTTGTCCTTGAGTTAGTTTCTAATAACGCAATGTCTAATGATTTTTTATGTAACTTCATAGAGCCATAGCATGGATATTTCTGGTTTCTACGAAAATTCTCATAGCTCCTCCCTGCATTGCTTCAAAGGTTTTACGATCGTATGGGTGTGATTATGTTAGTATCTGCCTGAGGCTATGTGAGCACCTCCACTCTCGTCGATGGCAAATTTCGTTACTTTTGATTAACATAATATCTTACTCGTATATATAAATAAGACAAATCTAAAAAATTGGCCCATGTCAGATTATTTTGTTTTTTTTTTGCACCCTCTGGAATGAGTATGGCAGCTCTTCCGGCTAGGTTTTGGTTCTTTGGAATCTTATAGCAATACTGATACATTAAAACCCTTTAGTAATTTTGCGAAATTCTCCTTTCTTGCCAAACTACCAAAGAATATTTTCTTTCAACCCAATTTGAATTTGGGATAAGCATTTCTGACTGTGCTTCAGAATCTCAAAAGCTTGCACTTTTCACATCGAATCAGTTTTCCATCTAGATCTGAAGCGGCTTAGAATGGCTGTTCTCCGTTCTTGTGCTCTTCTTGTATTATGTCAGTTCCTTTTATTACATTATCCTCCAAATTTCAAACTTCAATGCAGGCAGTATCGTTGTGGGAATCATGCTACTTCATAGAATCCATCTCTGAAAATGAATCTCTAGAAATGAGGAGAGCGTAAGGCTTGGCCTCGTTCGTAAACCTCCATTAAATCAGCGTAATCTTGATGAATGTTTGATGGCTAGGCTTTAATGTGAAAAAAGATCTCTAATTGCAATACAGCGGTGCAGGGATGGCTTATGGGGGGTGGGGGGGGGGGGAGGAAATCATCATAGACATAGAGCTACTGAGAACGTAGCTAATGTAGAGCAGTATGAATTTTTTTCAAATAACTTACATCAGCCTTCTGCATAAATAAGTCTTAGAACATATGTGATATCATTACATTATTACAAGAAATTATGTAATTCCATTGTAGAAATTATAGTTATATTCAAGCTCTTATATACAGAATGTATAATTATCATGACTTCTCCTTTATTTTTGAAACAAAGACGTATGAATAGCTTTTAGCATCTAAAATCAGAAATATTCATTACATAGCAAATAAATTTAGATGTGATTCCATTGGATTATTACTAGAACTCATCGTAATACAGTTATTTTTCTATCAAAAGATGAACTATTATCCCAGGCTTCATTTTCGATTTCAGACATTTTGATTTGTGGATCCACCCAACGCTTCAGTGAGAAATGAGTAACAAGACCCTATCGCTTAGCTCTTGGTGAGAATAGTCTCAAATTAAGACTTGAAAGATCTCCTATTCATGATTTTATCCGTTCTTCGTTAATTAAGATGTTGTAGTTGAGAATAAGCTTATCTCCATCACTTTATCAATACCTTCGAACAGCCTAGGAGATAAATTTTGTCATGGTTTCTTTTTTACTCAGCTGTGCTTATTTGAAGCTTTCTCTTTTGTTTTTGAACATCTTTCAGCGCAAAACCTCCCTCTTGAGCTTCAGCCATGTGGTTTGACATCTTTATTCAAATCTTATAAGAAAAGAAACTCTCTTTGCATAAGAAACGTTCTCTCCTCTTAGTCTGCAG